GCGCCCGCCCGGTGTTCGGGAGGTCATGGGCTCGATTCCTGTCGGGGACTCAGAATTTTTCTTTGTCCCACGCTCGTGTCATGTTGATTTATTCACCTTCACATTTCATTACCGAGCTTAAAATTCACCATCTTTATTAGCTTATCAAAGTCAAGTACTTACTCAACTAACGCCATGACAGTTATTCGGACTGGCCAACAGAACGGCGAAGTCTTGGAATTTTAAAAGAGAGCAAAGTCTGGAAAATTTGTAACAAAGAAATCTGGACAGCGTAGTCCGATTGACGAAGAAGCCTTTGTAGTTTTCTGTCTCGCTGCTTACGTTTTGCAATTGGCGGACGCCTGTTGAAACACTCCAAGAAAAATGATGCCACAGTATGTGTTTTATTCAGAGGTATGTGCCATATTAAGTGATAGGAAACGGACGATTCATCTATAAATCTGGTGGTAACAGACAGGGGCAATTGTATCCATAAGAATTGCAAACACACGGGTAAGAAATACAAAGGTTGAATCATCTTGCTTATTCCACAAGTACAACGTTTCGACAGTTGATCATGAAGTTTCGTCAACTGCTCGCGCTTTGTTATCGGCATTACCTGGTCTCAGACCAGGATTTCAAGAAATGCTGCGATGAGACGATCGTATTTAAAGTAAAGTGTACCTGTTTACATGAAATGGTTGTGTTCGAATATTTACACCAAACACGATGGATGCAACTGTAATTGATTGTTTACACAAACTTCACGTTTCAAAATGTCTTTTTTTACTTGAAGTCAAGTTTGGCTGTGGCCATGGGTGTTCCACAAAAGTTAAAACTGCCGATATTGAACGAATAATGTGTGCTACAGTTGTAANAACCACGAGAAAATCAATTCATGGGTTTCCTTTCCTTCCCTATATGGGTATGGGGCTCCGCTTGGCGGCCCTTCGGGCCGCCGGAGCTCCGCTACAAAGGTTGAATCATCTTGCTTATTCCACGAGTACAACGTTTCGACAGTTGATCATGAAGTTTCGTCAACTGCTCGCGCTTTGTTATCGGCATTACCTGGTCTCAGACCAGGATTTTAAAGTAAAGTGTGCCTGTTTGCATGAAATGGTTGTGTTCGAATATTTACGCCAAACATGATGGATCCAACTGTAATCGATTGTTTACTCAAACTTCACGTTTCAAAATGTTTTTTGTACTTGAAGTCAAGTTTGGCTGTGGCCATGGGTGTTCCACAAAAATCAAAACTGCCGATACTGAATGAATAATGTGTGCTACAGTTGTAACCTTCAAAAAGAAACATACAGTAGGCGGAAGGAAAATCAGTTTCGGGCGATATGCGCGTGCCGGTGATCGAAATGTACCAAAAGCAGCGTCTATTTTGATTTAACCGCAAATGTTTGCAAAAGTTAATCATGTGGTCAATCTAAAAGGAAAAAAAAAACATTACAAGTATCCTTATTGACGAAAAAGGTTTCCATTAGCTTATTTTTGTTCTTGATGAAGGTAGCTGGCCAAGTTCCATGTTGGTTTCACGAATGACGAATTTACAAAAATGTACCACACGTTTATGTCTCTCGACGGGTTAGTTTTTTCGGGCCGCGGAAGAGACTTTCACACAACATAATATAGASTATGGGCTTTCAGAAAATTTTAGTTTCGACTTCAAATTCAATGTACCAGTGGGCTTTTGATGGTATTGAAATTAGTTAAAATTAGCCATTTCGCTTATGAGCTTCGATGAAGGTACTTGTATCGGCCTAAAATATTATTATACTTGGAGCTTTTGCTAATCAAATTAATGCTTTAGAAACAGCAAGACATGCACTATGAGGTACCCAAAGTATATTGATAGATATCATCGCGTTGATCTGTACGAGAGAAAAGAAAATGCACAATTTTCGGCCATTTTCGGTGGCATCAGGCAGCTAAAATGGCGATTTTCAAACTTTCCTCGATTTCGAAAAAACTAAAGCGCTTCAAGACCCTTAAATGCTATTTTCGAACACAACTCACTACACAGGTTATTTGGGCAAAATATGACGAAATCGAAAATTTCGCGACTGTCATCTCATTCTCGGTATTTACAGGAACTGGCTCTTAAGCGCGTTCCAGACGGTGAATTTTTTTGAAAATTGGCACATGGATAGGAGTTTTCTTTTTCTCGCTGTTAAGCAAAAATCATCAAATTTTATACACACATTTATGTAATATGCGTCAAAAACGAAAATTGCGAATTCCTCCGAAAATTATGTACAGATTTTCTTGTAGCTTTGTCAGTTGAAACTCCTTGTGTGTTAACTGTCTTTCCCCCAAAAGAAAGAAAATTCACCGTGTAGAAACCTAGAAACACCGTCTAGAAGTCAGGTAGGTTAAAAAAACAAGCCAAGCATTTCTATCACTAGTTGCCATAGCAACAACATTTAGGTTCTGAAAGTGTCTTCCATACGTAGCCTAAGGCTGTAGGTTTTTNTGCGTCAAAAACGAAAATTGCGAATTCCTCCGAAAATTATGTACAGATTTTCTTGTAGCTTTGTCAGTTGAAACTCCTTGTGTGTTAACTATGTTTCCCCCAAAACAAAGAAAATTCACCATGTAGAAACCTAGAAACACCGTCTAGAAGTCAGGTAGGTTAAAAAAACAAGCCAAGTATTTCTATCAGTAGTTGCCATAGCAACAACATTTAGGTTCTGAAAGTGTCTTCCATACGTAGCCTAAGGCTGTAGGTTTTTTATTATTGACCTTCTACCGAGTGCTATGTTGTAAACATTTGCCAAGGGAGAAATTACTTATGCATATTTAATATCCAAAGCTTTGTGAAATACTATATAGAGCCACCTTAATAAATGCACTTTATCCCAAGAGTACATAACCTGTAGGTTATTTACAATTTAAATTATCAGAACTGATGTTGTCATGGAAATTACCAACAATGTTATTTAATACATGCATACATGTATCACTAATATTTTGAGAAATACATGTACATGTACATGTACCGTAAATTAAAAAGACGACAAATAAATCGTTTTGAATTTCACTGCACTATCCACAGGTCCACTTACATTTAGTTGGTGGTTTCTTTCTGTTCTTCTCCCAGTCTCTCAGCTAGTTCATCAGTTTACGCATGTTACTCTTGTCACCTTGCTGGCCAAAAATCTGCTTCACTGAGCAAGGGCGATATTTGTCAACCAACAACAAACTAGACTCCTAAACAGTTAAAGACATCAGTGAATAGTTGAATGGCCTCCATGTGTTAGTGTTACGTTGCTGATCAAAAATAAGTATCTTGACAGACAGTTGGATGTGATGATCCCTGCAAATGCAATGTGTGGTCCAGAAATTCAAAGGGGAAGGGGTTCTCTAAAGCCAATATTTTTAGAGGAAAGTGCACGACAAAACTAGAATTTCCTGGGAGAATCAAATTGGGGGGGGGAGGGGGGGGTTAAATCTAAAAAAATCCTCAGTGGGAGAGGTATAGATATTTTCTGGAACATCACAACTTACCTTTTGACGCAGGTGATAATGTAGGGGTCTGTGTAGCAGAAGATGACACAGATCATCCACTAGGAGGCTATGATTCCCCTTTGAGCTTTTCCTTTCCTTGACTCAATTTTTCAACTTCTTCGGTTTTTTCTTTCTTCTTTGACTTCTTTTCCTTGCTGGAAGGTTCATAGCTGATCTTCTTCCTTGCTTTTGTCTTGACTGGTTTTGTCTTGACTAGTTCATCATCTACAACATAGCTGTGTTGCACCGCACTGCTCAGCTTCAAAACAAAAAACAAACAAACAATTTAACACAATACACTGTACCTGTACAATCCCTCTCCACCATCTACATGTACATGTATCACAAGCAGTTAGTTTCAATGAGGTGATACTTTATCAAATAAGAACTGCTTTGGTTTTGCTTTCGTGTCAGTATACATATTTTTTCTGGCATGGGACTATCTGACTATGTTCAGTAAGTACAATAAAAGGTAAAAGATCCATTTCAAGACTCTCCCTTACCTCAGAAAGTTTGCTGTCACCAGCACCCTGTCCCACCACAATATAACTTGTTTTCTTGCTCACTGACTGATCAGTCACCTTGCCACCATACCTCTGAATCAAATCTGCAGTGTCATCTCTCTCAACACTTTCCAGCACTCCTGTAGCAACAAATGTCAGTACCTCTAGGCAGTTTTCTTCTCCCTGTAAATGCAGCCAAATAACATCAATTTTGACCATTACTTGGCCAAAAAAAAGAAATTGACTAAGATTTGTCCAGGGCAAAGAAAAGCTCATAATAGCATAGTGCTTGTGTTAATGGAGTGCTTCCAAGGTGTAGCTCTACTGTACATTCACCTCTAATTAAGGTATGTGTATGCAAGCATTGGGTTGTAACTACTGTACAGTTGTAAGTACTTGTAAAGCACACAGTCAGTACATGTAACTGTTGTTATTGTAGACAATTTGCCAGACTCACTCAATATTGAATAAAAATGTGTGAAACTGCAAAATAACAAAAATGCAAACAATTGTGAATCTTCATGTCCACTACCTGGACAATATAACATTCTTTTTAAAAACACTTATAATCATTTGAATTTTTATTATTTTGCAATTTCACGCATTTTGATTCACTTTTTTTTTTTTTCTTCACTTCTTGTCATTAACATTTTACCCATCAAAGACTGTAGTTAAGGCAGTTGAAAGCTTGTAATTTTTTAATAATTGTCTCAGCCAGAGATTGTTTTTAATTTTTTACAAATTAGATCCACAGTTGATGAACAAATTCACAGACCTTCTTCTTTTCAGGAGATGTTTTTTTTTTTTTAACTTCAAGTTGTGGGGTAGATGAGTGTACTTTTCCTCTCTTGGATGGCTGTTCTGTTTCTCTCCCATTAAGAGTTTTATTTTCCTTCCGTCTCTTCTCTTTTCCATGTAGTGACTCCTCGTCTTCATTTGTAAGTGTTCCCCCATTTTCTTTTGCCTCCTCAGATCTCTATGAGGAGAAATAAAAATAATCTTATATGTTCCTTTCCAGACGACTGATAAGACACCACATGTACATGTTCATGGCCATTGACTTTTGACCTTTCAAAAGGTAAACAGGTGACAACCTAATGTCAGCTTCAAAAAATTGCTTGTGGTAGCCACATCTTATCTCGCACTTACACTGTAATTGGACTTCACTCATTCAGTTATTTATCAGAATTTAAGCAAAATGTCACCATCTGTAGATTAGTCAATTGTTGTGTTCTAAGACAAAGAATTTTGTAGTGAATTACATGTACATGTGTATATGACTAGGTAATATTCATTTGTAGTCTTAGTAAGATTTAGTATCTTATATTTTTTGCTCAGAGACATTTTAGCTTAATATAATCAATATATAGTGATAGAACTCATTAATTCAAATTGAATTTTAATTTGCATGAAGGTCCAAGAAGTAATCAGTTGAAAGGAAATTTTCCCTTTACAACTTAGCAATATACATGTACATCTTTCAAATTGAAAGATCATTGCCCCAAAATGGTAGTCAACATACCACCCTGTGAATAGAGTTGCTTTCAATCTTACAATGATCAAAGTGAACTTTGCTTGCAGAGTAGCAGTTTACAAACCTCTTTCCTCTTTGTATCAACAACCTTTCGTGATTCTCTTTCTGCAGAAGTTGAACCAAAGAAGTCAAGAGCAGAGGTCAGTTTCTGTGGAGTTTCTTTAGGCTTTACAGGGCTGGATAGAAAGAAAAACATTCAGAACTTAAAAAAAAAAAAACCACTCACACGCACATCAGCAAACTGAACTGGGTTGAGTTCAAACTAACCTACAGTTTCAATTGAAACAGATTGACCTACAGCGTACAAGACAAACTGACCTACAACATACATTGCATACATTTAAGATTCCAAGAAAAAATACACAACTTCTCATACAGTGTACGTAGCACAATTTTGAACAAATTTGCTTGTACTTCATACAAATCTCAAGGAAAGCAATACTGAAAGAGAAACCTTAGTAACGGTTCAAAAGAAAACTAATCACATTGTACCTCTCCTTAACATGCACAACCTCCGGGCTTGTTTTTGTTTCCATCTGTTTGGCAGATTTCTTTAGCTTCTGGGGTACAACTTCCTCCTCTTCTGCAGAATACCAACAGATACACTTTTAACCAAGATTAAATAAATACAAACTTCTACAAGACATGTTAATAATATCCAAGAGAAAAGACCAACAATCTTTTTCTTTTTTTCGGAGAGTGGGGGGGGCGGGGGGGGGGGCAGGGGCGATTTAGCAGCCTTAGCTATTTTTAAAGAGTTGCTTCTTTTAACTAGGGACTTGTTAACATTTTGGCAATAAATTTGCAAAGTACTAAAAAGCAGCAATCTGGATTATTAAGTAACAAATTATATACCAACATAATGTAATGTAACACAGTAAATGGTTTGAACCCAGGAGTATCAGTAGTTCGTATAGTGTGATCATCCGGGTGAGTGTAGTTCTGAAAAGAACTGTTGTTGGTGAC